TTTCACAATAATGTAATTTGTAATTTTCTTTAAGAAAGGTGCATTTACATTTGCACTTCTGCCCTATTTGGAAACCCACTGAGAACTTTATCACGTGCATAAAAATAAATTTAATAGTGATTGAACTTTTAGCAAGCGTGTGGGTTTTCACATGTCTTTGAACAGGTGACCAAGCGCGTGGACACAGAAGAGGGTGAATGGGCTGGCTGGAATTGGAGGACGGATGGGGACATACTGGTAAATGGAGCATTCTTTGTGCCCTCCGGCGAAGTCCTCAGCACTCAATATGCCAAGGCCTCCAGCGTCGAGCCTAGGTCCGCTGACCTCATTGACCTTCTCACCATGAATGCTGGTGTCATTGGCGGTCCAAGGTACACGCGTTATTGCTTTTGTTTTGTGAAAAATCGACTGCCCCGCTTCTTATATTGACCATGTGCAGCAACCAAGCACCCATAAAATGTGGCTCTCTCCAAAGCTTAATTTGGACTAGACGAATATCTTGTGCTTCTCGACTCATGTCTAAGTGTGTTTGATGCGCATTATTTGATAATAAACTTAACTATTGGAAGACAACTATTGAATATGAATGCGTCAAGATAAGGTACATTAGGTCCATGTGATGCGGACTTTAAGAATCTATCTGACTTTTACAGTCGAGTTGTCTTTTAGGATTTCTGCACTTATTATCGTTCACAGGAACTACCTTTTGAGTTGCTTTTGTTTAGTAGAAAATTATGGCAAAATGTGGGGATACACTCCTTCATGGCTTACTGAAATTTTGTCGGAGTATGATCCATTAGTAGCAGTAAAGAAAACTCGTGACAAAAAATATTTAATAAACAGTGCAGTAAATAGGTATAGCACAAATTGATGTAGTTTGAAACTAGAAAGTGTCAAGATTCCCCAAAACAGATTATGTGATAAGACAGTTGAGGAGCCAAACAGGTTTTCCTGTGGATTGATATTGAAAAAGGTCTATCTTTTTTCAAGTGGGGTCGTGGAGATGTTCTTCTCCTTTTGCCATTAGCCTTTAAGCTTCAAAAACGGATGCTATCCTCCACTTCAATTCGTATTTTTTCAGGCAGCAAAAAGTAGATGAGCCGTTCGCTGAGACTACAACTAGGCGTCCCGAATTTCGAAGTTGATTTTAGTTAGTTTTTCATTTTTCTAGTGAGAAAGCCTATCTCGTGGGGCATATGCAGCCATGTTAGTTGTTTCGAGTATGTGTCAATGTGAAAATTACATTCTCCATTTCTTGCATTCCAGTCCATGAATGTGGGTCCAACCCTTCGAAATTTGATAATATGGGTCCCATTTGTAATGCTAAGATGTATTCCTAACCAACAACCTTTCAGCTTTCGGTGCCAGTGGGGGTCTACTGGAAAAGGCCTTTCTTTGTCACCTATTTGCTGCTGGTCCCTCATTGAAAATTTCCCATTTGAGCCCTGAATTTGTACAATTTACAGAGCGATCTGTAATTTTTACACGTGTACTATTTTGCTGGACAGAAAATGAGAGGAAAAGGGATTTTAATCCGTCCATTTTCCTCTAATGTAAACCCAGTATTTGCTTAACAGCAACAGCACGGCACATTTGGTACAAAGTATTAGATCGGATTAGACACTAAGCTTGACACGATTTTGACTATAGTAATAAGGCCACGGAAAGAGGTTTCTTATGCCAACAAGTCCCACCTCCTAAGAGTGTTGTATTAGCATAAACCATTGTCTATTTTTATTTGCAGGGACAACAGTATCAGCATGACATATGGTGGTGGGGCAGCTACCGGCGCAACTGCAGGAGGCGGTGGTGGGTCAAGTGGTAGAGACGATGACTACTTTGGAATGATATTTGGGAACGACGCAGCCCCGACAAAATCATTTCCACCCACCATCATGCTTTCGTCTCTTCTAATTATTTTAAGTCTGTATATAATGAGCAATCATATTGGTTCATTATCATTATTATAGTATAAATATATCAAAGAAAAATGGGCAATAAATCTAAGAAAATTTCGAAGTTCAATTAATGCTGGGGTCCCAAATTTGTACATTATTGATAGGTTGGTTATGGGTCACATAGTTTTTAAAGGAAATTATTGAAGTGATTGATGAATATTAGCAGCTTTTCTTGAATTTTAATGGGTTGAAAATCTTCAGAATCAAAATATTAAGAATACACATTTGTCCATTCAAATCTTAGGGCCTGCTTGATAAGTTAGATTTTCCAATTCATTTTCCATTTTTCACTTTTGACTTGTTTGATGGGATTTTTTCTCCTTAGAATTCATTTTCTTGGTTTAGGGTCACACGTGCCATTTTCCTTGATTTTATGGAAAAGCAATTCCCACCACTTTGGTGGAAAATGGCTTACCAGGTTCCTTTTTTTTTTCTTTCTTTTTTTGGCAATTGAAAAAAATTCTAAACACAATGGTAAAGAAATTTATCACTTTTATTGACAATTTTCATGCAAAACAAAGCTAAACGAATAGTATTCAATATAGTAATTTTTTTTTTGGCAATTGGAACAAATGCTAGACCCAATGGTAAAAAAATTATCACTTCAATGGACAATTTCATGAAAAATAAAATCAAACGAACACCAAACTTTCAATATTTTCTAGATGAAAAATCATATCAATTAAACAAAATTAATTACAAATTCTAGGTAATTCAATTCTCAGTAAAATATTTTCTTTCTACTCAAATTCTACATTTGTAATCAAACGGACCCTTACTAAAGAGTTTGTTTGGTAGGACTTTTGTTGTTGGTTCTGTTTTGTATAGAAGAGTTTCACGAGGAAGATACTTGTACCAATTTTCTTAAAGAAAAAAAAAATTTATTCAAATGTGTTCAAAAAACTTCTTCTTAATCTCACAAAATCCTGTCAAATGAAAGCATTTAAAAACATAATATTTTAGCATGGTCTAAACTTTCTATCAAGAAAAGTAATTAAAAAAAGCTACTTTGCAAAACATCATATATGCTACATACAATTGTTTCAGGCCAAAATGTACGAAAGTAGACACGATTTTTTACTCTGCACACGTTCAAACCAAACACGGTCTTGCATCTATAGCTCTCCTCTCTGATTGCGCGTTCAACAAAATCTTATCTTTTGACTTTTGTTAAACTATTAAATGCATATGATTATATAAGATAAGATATGGATGGCTCATCATGTGTTACATTTCAGTCGAAAAATCAATTTCAGTCATTGTTTCCTATTTCAATTGAATTATGTGTCATTTGACACATAGCTTGGGGCCTTCTCTATCTTTTAATTTTATTAGCAAGAAGAGGAGAGGATACCCCATGTGTAATAGGAAATTGCCAAACGTCCAAAGGTAACGAATGCTAAAGTCACTCTCCTTTAATTGTGCCTTTGTAGTCGGTTGCGAGGAATGGGACCTGCAGTCTAATGTGTCTCTTTCGAGAATGCTTGCTCTTTTTCAAAAATAATTGTGCAATGAGTGACCGACTGGGGGGACGGGAGAGAAATAAGAACGAGAGATGCGCATATCAAATCATGTCATAACCAAGCTTTCAAAACACCAACAAAAAGAATGGACACTGAAATCATATTGTGGTATAACCAATTGTCACACTAGGAAGTAACCAGAAAGAGAACAAATCAACATACAGCTCTTTCTTTAAATAAGAATGAAATAACTTGATCATGAAACTCGTATTGATTACACTAACTGATATCATTATTAAGCGGGCCAAGAATTGAAAAGATGGAAGATATACCCACGTCAAGAAAGAAGAAAAAACAATGAACCGAACTCGATCAATATCTCCATTTTTTACCTGGGATTTTTAGCTTTCTTTCCAGCTTTGCATTGGATAAGTAATATTTCTTCCCTTTCGGGATGAAAAAAAGATGCCAATATAGATGAAAAGAACGGAAAATCCTCGAGCATTAGACCAACATAGCTCCACCAACCCCAAAAAGTTATGTCACTCCTATTGCTTTGATAGGAGCTCCATATCTTCTCAAGGAGAGAGGACATCTGCTGAGGAAGGGAGAACTTGGCTTCATAATTCACCAGAGATCACTAGATCTGAGTAACAACTTCTTCTAGTCTCTTCCACGCTAACTCGCGACGCTCTTCTTGTTCTCCTGCCCCTGCTTTCATTTCCTCATACTGTCTCTGACACTTCTCAAACAGTTCTGTGTCCATCTCCAGGAACATTATTCGGACATTGGAGCTCAGACCGAGGATTGCCTGATTCCAATGACCTCGTATATTCTTTTCCAATGCGTCAAATATTATTGGTAGGATAACATGTCGGTTCTCTGCAATCAGGCTCACGATGTGCTCATTGTTCCACCAGAAAAGAGCCCTTTCCGCCACCTGTCACACAGCACGAGGAAAAATATAGAAAGCTGAAGACTAATTACGATATAAAAACTTGAAAGCATGATCTGCACAGCCTAAAAAAGTGCACACGTTCTCAAGGGCATTTGCCATGCTTGTTCACATTTCTACATGACAATGTTAAAACTGGTGCTGATATAACAATAAGATCAGTATCAAACAACTCAAATCATTTGAGAAGTACCCACCAGTATTCTCAGTACATAAGCAAGGCTTGCTACTTTGTACTGGTAATATGAAGCATAATAATAAGAAAAGTTTTCAATAGAATTACTTTTTAGATCATAAAAATCGCATTGAATATGCCAATACGGAGATGCTGAGGTTTAGCTTTTTGTGCTTGAGCTTCACTCAAAGAATAATTCAACTCCAAATAATAATTCAAACTCCAAACCAAGCTCATGTTCGATGCAAATATGCATAATTGAAAGCACAAATATCATCTAGACCCTGCATTGGGATCAAGGTCAAATTAATTCCACATAAAATATTAATTATTCAACTTCAGCAATTAAGTGAAAATGTTTCCCTTAAATTTTCAACTCGGTAAATTATTCAATAGCCAAACTAACTTTCACAAGTACGCACACAATTTACTTCTATTTTTTACAATATATTAAAATATTAGGATAAAAACACAGCATTACAAAGTTCAAGAGTTTAGAGAAATCGAGTCAAAGCTTATAAATGTAAGTATTATCTGAACTGTAACAGAAAATCAACCTCGAGCCTCTTTCGCATGACCAGATACATGAACTTAGCTGAACTTTCCTTGTAAAAGGCTTCGTTTCTTTTTAGTGGTAAATGATGGGGAGAAATCATTTTAAGGGGGTACTGAAAACAGTAACATAGTTCAAATAATTCCCACTTCTGACCTTCCGTTCATTGCATGAAAGAGGGAGATAAATGGAGGAAGCTTGTTTCCTTTCCCAGTAAATCATGCTTACCAAGTATATATTTTTCTAAGTTGATCCAAATCCACAAACTATTATGCCTTTTCATACATCATTTAAGCATCGTATAATATTCCATTTTCCAAATAATCTAACAATAATCTGTTTGGCTGACTTAGATTTTCCATCCGGTAAATATTTGGAAAAATTTTAACACGACATAGAAAGTTGTAAGAAGACTATTGGTATGTAAGCCAATTAGTTACTGCAGACATCAGCTGATATCAGGGTTGTTGGGGCTTTGAATTAGTTTGGTGTGATAGAAAATTTATAGTATGAAATACCTTTAAGAAAGCTAAACCATCTCCAATATTCTAAAAAAGCATCAAAATAACCGATCAAATATTTTCCACTAGGCAATGACTACAATTGTGTTCTCTCAAGATTCAACATTCCGCCTCATGACCCACTTCCAGTAGTAATCTAAGATCAGCTTAGACATGTAATTCTAGATTATGAACAGATACAGGGAACATTGCATATACACCAGAATAGTGATGCAAACTTGATGCAGCTAGATCAGCTTAGACATGTAATTCTAGATTATGAACAGATACAAGGAACATTTTATGAATTAATTGATATAGGGTTTTTTCACATGTCAGCTTAGAAGGATTACCAATAAATTATCATACATCATAGACCACTACTTGCTTATCAGTATAATCACAATTCAGCAAGGGCAAATTCTTAGAACTTAAATAGACGCCAGTACACTAAATCTGGAAAAGTGCAAATACCAATAACTTTTTCTCTTGATTAAAAAAAACAAAAAAGAGGAACATCACCTTTTCTAGAAATAGGATGAGGTGGGTAAAGCGGAAATGATGGTATTTGCAAGGATGATGCTCAGAACGAGATTCCATTCTATGATTGTGGATGGACAACAGAAAAAGTCTCAATTTAGGCGTGTCACAAATTTCTTATAAGACAGAATTAATAATTTATTTCAGATTTAGGCAATATCTCAAAGTATAACTTTTTATGTCACCAATCAAAAATCAAGCTGAGAAAATTATGTGGAATTTAATGAACTACTCATTAGCCAACATGGAAACTGATTTCAGAAGTTATACATTATTAATCCAGAAGAGCAATAATTTTATGAAAATTATCCTGCACAGATTCATGACATAAAGCAACAAATATCACAATATGCTACAAACCTGGAAATGTGAGCTGTTGAGGCTTCGTCCAATTTGTCTAAACAGAGGAAACATGCAGCGTTGGAATTCTGCAGACTGTGTAACCTCCAATATTTCTTCTAGTTCTCCTAAGAAGAGAACCTCCTTACCACAATTTGTAAGTGGCCAGTACTTTAACATCCCCTGAATGACAGTATCTGCCAACCTGTAATCTTTCTCCACAAATTGCGTTATACAATAGGACAACTGCTGATGATATGATGTAACACATTTAGCCTTGTGAAGTGGAATGAGTGCTCGTACAAGGAACAACTTATGCTCTTCTTTCATTGGCAGTGCAAATCCATTTATAATACTTCCAAGAATTTCTAATAGCTCACCGATCCCACAGTACTTCTCCGTCTCAAATAAAAATTGATAAAATATGTTGTTTATTGCATTCCTTATGAAGGGTCGATGAACCATAAATCTTCCATATATTCGATGA